GCACGACGTCAAGAAGGGACGACGCGGTCCATCGCCTTTGTGCGACCCAACAACGTAGCCTTCTGCTCTTCTTTTTCTTCTTCCCATCCACGCACACACACGCATGCGCTTATGCGCTTGACGGTTTGTTAATTCGCGGGGCACCACGACTTCAATTCAAGGCATTTTTCATGTACGTGTATGTACCACGTCTCTATGTACATTGACATGTATATCATAACGTGATTCAAGAGGTAAGGATGAAGGATAAGGATGAGAAGACAAAGACAAAAAAAAAAACGGGTGGGGTGGGGTGGGGTGGGGTGGGGTGGGGTGGGGTGGGGTGGGGTGGGGTGGGGGGAATAAACAACAACAACAACAACACGCTACCGAAATAGACACGAAAACCAAAACAAACAACAACAACATTAATAACGACAACAATAATACTTTTAGAACAAACTACTTTGAAGGAACATATACGTGTATATATATGTATATGTATGTATGCAGCAACAGCCCACAAGAGTGCGACGTGCGTGCCGCAATTAACACGAGCAGCAGCAGCGGCAAAAAAAAAAAAAGAAAATCGAAGAAGAGACAAGACGCGAGTATAAAACTGAGGGTGGGCGAGGAATGACGAGTGGGTACACATGTGTATGTATATAAATAAATATATATTTAATGGCTATTTTTGATGGTGCTTTCAGTGATGGTGGAATCACTACGAGGGGTGGGGTGAGGGGTGAGGGGTTTGTTTGCTTTTTACCGTGTTATTGTTGTTTGGTTTGGTGTGTGGGGGGAAAAAGAGAGGTTACCGTTACTTCGGTATCTTTTTTCCGCGGAGGTGTGCCTTGTGGTTGCTACGGTGCCCCATTGTGGAGGTGTGTGTGTGTGTGTTTTGTTTGTTGTTGTTGCCTCACTTTGCTTGGTTTTGCGTGCGGCGATGAGTTGTGAGGGGTCTCGGGTGTATATATATATGCATGCATGTGTATATGCAAAGGAGGAAGAGAAGAGGAAATATGTGTATAAATGCAGCTTGCCGCACACACCGCACCGTTCAACACGTGCGTGTTTTGAAAACGGAAAAACAACAACAACAAAAAAGCAACGATAAAAAGAAGAAGAAGAAGAGAAGTGCAAGTAGTGCGCTTTTGTATTTTAGCAGGACTGAAGAGGAGGGGAGGGGAAGATACTGGCAGAAAAGCAAAGGAAACGCGAGAGATGTTGCGTTTTTCTTTTTTCTTTCTTTACGGCCTTGCAAGTAATAAAAAAAAAAATAAAAATAAATTAAATTAATTAAATAAATAAAAAACAAACAAACAAACAAACAAACGAAAAAAGAAGAAGTTTTTGCAGTTTTTTTTCTTTCCTTTTTTTTCTTTTTTTCCTCCTCCTTCCACGATGCGTCTTACCGTGTGCATGTAGGCGTGCATGCGAATTCGCACGCACATATATATATAAATATATATTTGTTCGTGTGTATGCCGTTCAGCTGATTTGTCTTTTTTTTTTTTTTCTATTTTGTTGTTGTTGTTGTTTTTTTTTTTCTCTTTCTTGTTCTGCTCTTCTGCTTCTTTCCGGTGTCAACTTCCCATTCATTTTGAGAGTTCTTTTTTTTTTGTGTCTGTGTGCGTGTGGGAGGAGGGGTTTTTCGTACGTACTTCGTCTTTTTTTTTTTTTGTCTTTACGTTTTTTTATTATTATTTTGCGGTTGTGTGTTTTTTTTTTTCCCCCCCTCCCTCCCGTGTGTGCTGCTGCTGCTGATTGCCTGCTCTTCTGTCGGCCTGCCTTCTTTTTGGTTTTGTTTTGTTCGTGGCGTTGCGCCCGAATCATTTCCACGTCTGCGACGTCACCGTCGTCTTCCACTCTCGCTTCCCTCGCACACATGCGAAGGATTTAGTCGAGCCGAGGAATCAGCAGCAATGGGAAAGGGTGGGGCAAGGGCTCTGCAGGATGAAAAGGTGCTCCTAGCGGAGTTGGGGAAATTGTTTCACATGGCACGGGCAAACGTTCGCGAGCAGCGCAATACACAAAGGGCGGAAGCGAAGAGGCAAAAGGCACCCACCACGACGGCGGCGCGTGCGAAGAGGACTGCTGCGGCTGGGGCGAAGGGCGGCAACCTCACGGAGGGGCGACCACCGAGGACAGGCTCGAAAAGGTCTCGGAAGAGCACCCGTGGGGGCACAGTGTGGGTAGTGCTGAAGGGCGGCTTCACACGCGTGCCAACGTCGGAGAAGGCTCAGGCGATTGCGCACAACACCGCGTTTCGTGGCCGCCTTTCGGAGCGTCGTCGGGTCCAGGCGCTTGAGCGGGCGGAGGAGTACATCCAAACCGCGTGGCAGCAGGCGCAGGAGGCAGGGCTTCTCCTTGACGATGGCAGTGGACCCAATGGGGACGAGGGCCTGCAGTACCTTCGTGAGCAGTACGAGGTTGCGGCAGGAATGCTTCGTCGTGAGCCGGTGGGCGCATTCCTAAAGAAAATTGTTGCTCAGACGATTCCTAGTTATGCCACGGTGCCCGCTGAGGCCACAACGCCGGCGGCTGCTTCGCTAGCCAGCGCGGCGGCACCTATGCTACTCACGCGGGACGAATGGGCAGACGTCATTGCAAGAGAAACACTTATCTTGAAGCGTTTTGCCCCGTCAACAAGCACGGAAGAGGATACTGGCGAAGCCGTGCTCCATGAGGCGGCACAAGTGCCTTCGCGCTACTACTTCCCCATCGCTGAGCCTTTGGCGCCACTTGAGGCGGCCTTAGCGGAGACGACGGTGGGGTATCGCGACACTGGTAGCGATGCCCCTGGCGGAGAGCAGGCGCGGGATGTGCTGCCGACCAAGTGCATTGTGCGCATTCGAGGAAGTGGGAAACAAAAGCACACCGCCATCCTTGCCTCCACGAAGGCTGTGAATTACCTTAAGTCAAACCTTATGCAGGTGATCCGTAAGGAGCTCAGCGGCTCGAAACTTCCCCGCGGGGAAGATGTTGTGGAGGGCAAGCTGCATCAACCGCACCAGCAACAGGCGAGCCACGGTGCGGTGGCTGAGAACGCCGCCATGGGCTCGTCGAAGAAGAATTCCAGAAGACGACATAAATGAAAAAAAAAAAAAATAGGAAGGAAAAAAACATAATGAAAAACAAACCAATCTTATTTTTCTATGCGCACGCTCCCCACGTTTTTACTCTCGTTTTCTCCTTCTTTTTTTTCCCTCTTGACCCCTGTGCTGCTGATTATTTCCCTCTCGTTCTATCCCCCCCTTTTTTTTTCTTTCTTGTGCCTCTACAGCCGGCACTGGGAGTGTCGTCTGATTTCGGTTTCGTTTTCGTCACCCAACTTTTTTTGGGTTCCTTTTCACGCACCGCGGCGCGGTGCACTGACGGCGCCGGACTAGGCTATAATCTCGTTGTGTGTCTGAAACGTAAGGGGGGTGGGGGGTGCGCCGACGGCACACAACTGCATGCCGCGGCGTGACTTTTTCAAGGCTTTTAAACGCTTTGAGGGGCTGCAGACGGACGGACGCACACAAACACACATTGGGACCTCTGCGCTTTGAGGCTTCGCCACGCCCCAATAGGGTGGGTGGGAAGCGTACGTGCGACGGTGCCACAGAGGGTGTGGAGGGTTGAGGAGGTGGTGAGGGGGGAGGGGGAGGAGGATGTTTGAGGTGAGGCAGTGATGTTGTGTTGGTGTGGTGGTCGTGTGTGTGGGCTGAGTGCTATTAGTATTGTTGTTATTGTTACGGCGGCGGCGTTTTCCCTTTCGCCGGCTCGATTACACACTTGTGACCTTCAACAGTCATCATTTCCCCCTCCAACCCACTTTTTTTTTTTTTCGCTTCGCTGCGTTCACGGTGCAAGGTTGGAGGGGAGGCGAACAAATTTAGAGCGGAGCGGCAAATACTCGGGGGAGTAAAGGCGTTGCAAGGCGTCGTGGATGTCTCCTCGCCGAGTGTGCCTCTCCCTGCAGCTGCATTTGTGTGGGGTGAAGCTACCGTTCAATCTGGCAAGCGGCGTCAATTGCCGATATGCGCATACGGGCCGCCCGTCAACCTCCCTTTTGTGGCTCTCGCACAAACGGGAGAAGGCCACGCGCAACGTAATTTCTTCACCGGAAGCGACATGTGCCCTATCGAGTGCTGCGTCAAAAATGTCAGTGGTTGGCAGAACGCTCGCCTCCTCCTCGTCTCCGCCATTGCTACTTGATCCTCCGTTTACACCTGTTCCGGGCGAGTCGCAGGCGTTGAGGCGGCGAACGAATTGCGGTGGAACATCCTTTTTGTTATTATACGTCTGCGGTACCTGCAAATCGCCGCTGTTTTGTAGTTCGGAGTACGCGGCGTCCAGTTCTCTGGGACATCACAGCAGCGGATGGCCCTCGTTTACTGCCCCAGTGTGCAATAGTGTACTCCAGCTGCGAAGCCTGCTCCAGCGCAGCGCCGTGCAGGAGGGTGGCCAGACACCGTTGACTGCAACGCTTGCGGCCCGTGGTTTGCGTGTCGAGGGGGAAATGCAGCGGCAGACGCGCGGTGGAGGCTGTGAGCGGTTGCGGCCTCGTACGTGGCGGGAGGAGTGCCTGAGAGACGAGAACAAGCGAGGCGACCCAACCGTCTTGGAGGGCTGTTGCACCGAGTGCGGGAGGGCTGTTTGCCGCGTGGTCACGGAGAGACGCAGAGGTGCAAAGTACGTCGTCAACCCAACGGCTGTCAATGCCGAGCTGACGGAGTGCAGCGACCCGGGCATTGCATCCACGCCACATCGGTCACAGATTCCCCGCTGACCTTTGCGGGTGGTTGCTGCTGGCCTTTCGCGGTGGGGCATTTGTTTGGACTTTTTTTGAGCTGTTTTCCTTCGGGCGAATACGGTGGGAGAGGCGACGCTTTAGGCTATCGAGGCGGTGAAGGTGGAACTTAACAAGACAAAGCAGCAGCTGCGGCAAACGGGGGGAGGTGTTTGGGCAGGCGTCGTCTGTACACGCGGAAGCTCGCATGTGGTGCAGGAGCAGCACGGGGCTGCCTGATAACAATCTGGCGAAGATGAAGCACATGCTGCAGGTAATTTGGGGGGAGACTTTGCGGCAGATGATGGAGTTGCTTGTTGAGGGACGTGAGCGGGCCTCAGCACACATGTACGCACGGAGGGAGCGAGAGATGAAGAGGGATGAGTGGTCCACGTAAAGAGCCACAAACAGGCGAGAGAAAGGCATCCTACTTATGTGTCTTTGGTCTTTCCTTTTTGTTTCTGTTTGCCTGCAAATACCGACTGCTGCTTCTCGTACTTTTCTTTGCGTCTCTCACATTGTCTTAGTGGTGGGTGGAGGGTCCTGTGAAAGGGATCGAGGAGGCGTGGTCGGATTGGTCATTCACGACGTGGCGTCAGGCCGTTGCAGCGCACAGGGCGTAGGGGGAACCGCAACGGGTGGGGTGGGGTGGGGTGGGGGCTCGTTTTGTCACAGAACGTGAGAGAGAGAGAGAGAAAAGCCGTGAAAAGGGACATTGTTGTGAAAGTGGAAGCTCACGGCACCGGCAAAGTCGCACACAACTCCATGTGTTTGAGACGGCTGGGCGCACGTTCTCCGTCGTGCCTGACGTTGGCGGCTTCACACACCGCCCTCGCGCGGGGTGCAAAGACGCGTACAGATGGGCGGATGGACGCTGCATTGCACACAGTGGCGCCAAAAGCACCACCTCCCTCGCAGCAGCAACAGCGTCAAAGTTATGCGACATTTGGGCGTCTTCTTCGTAGCATGCAGGAGGCACCGGCGCGGAGCCGGGTCTGTGGCGCAGCAGAGGCAGCTATTCCTGTCGATGAACCATTGGCCACGAATAGCGCACTGTTGGAGCAGCTTGGTGTCATGGACCTTTCTGAGCGGCGTACGCATGCATTTGCCGCGTTCACAGCCCCCACAGAAAACACAAAGGCAATAAACACGGCGTTGGCGACCAGGATTACTGAAGCGTGCAGGGTTGGGGTCGCCTGTCATCTGCCTCCCACCGTCATCCTTCGAAAGATTGCTTCAGCTATGGCGAAGGCGGAAGGCAATACCGAGGAGATACCTCCCGTGGCAGCTGCTATACTGCTTCGTAGCGCTGCTGAACGCATCACTTCCAGGTCTGCCGTCTTGCAGCGCCGCAAGAATGGCTGCGATGCCGTTCCGCCACGGCAGGATGCTGAGGCGTGGCCTCGGAGTGACCAGGGCGAGGTGGCGCGCCTCCAATGGGCCCTCTACGAGGAGATACGTCGAGGCTACGAGGTCCTCACGAGGCTCCCACAGGGTTGCCAAGAAGTTGCAGACACTCAAACTGGAGAACAACACGAGAATGGGAGAATGCAAGGTGCAGTAAAGTGGCAGACGGGATACGTGGATGAGCTTCGTGCGAGGCTTGAGCTTGCCGTTGCCCTGCAGGATGGCGCTGTCGCCGTCGATCTTGCAGAAAGGCTTTTCGCCGCCTATGACATGGCACAACATCGTGGTGTATGCGAGGAAGAGCATGAAAAGCTTCGCACGTACCTGCTACGTGATGTTTGTGCAGCTATTTCTGCGTTTCATGCGGGCCGTAACTTTACGGCAGGGTGTGGACTCTATGAAAAGGTTATTTCCATGCTTCCTGTGGCTGTAGAAACCGCTAGCATTGCTGCAGGTAACAGCATAGGCCTCGACACGGATAACGGCAGACGTAGCGAGGCCACGGAGATGGAGCTTGCTGAGCGGCTGCGGCTGCTCAGCGCTCTTGCGAATTGCGTGGACGCGAATGCTGCCCATTTCACATACGTGCGAGATGCCGTTGTAAAACTTTTTGCGAATACTGACGTGGGGTATTTGCCTGCCACACGGCAAACCTCACGGGAGTGCCTGTGTGCTGCTCTTCATGCACTGTCGCGCATCGTACTCGAGCCACGTGTAAGGATGGGCGAGGCTCAATCCTTGTTTTGTGCCATACAGCAAAACTCACACGCCGACGTTTCTCTCGCCTCCGAAGTCACGGAGGCGTTGCTGCAGGTCTCAAGCGCCGCTCTTGACAACAGTGTGGCATTGATGCTATACAATCAATTGGCGGCTCCTCAAACGCATCGTGCGGAGCTTCCGGCAAACGCTATGGCTGTTCTTGTGGCCGAGGAGGACGCACTTGATGGCTTTGCACGCTTTTTGAGTTTTGTGGGTCTGCGTCGGCGGGTTATGGCTTCCTCCGCTGCACACCTTCTCGCGGCGAAGCTGCTGCTGCAGCGCAAACCCTCCGAGGTGGTGTACACCGTTTTAGATCTTATTCACGCAAGACACGAGGTGGAGCCGCAGCGAACGTTCTTCCTTCGTCTCCTGGCATTTTACCGTGATCTGCAGCAGCGGATGCCTAGTGATGAACCCGCTGCACCTGCGCCGCACCTGCACTCGTACACCCAACGTATTCTTGCGGACTGGCGGGAGGCGCTGTGTCGCACCGGTGTGAGGACACTCGCTTTTACCACACTTCGGCTTCTCCAACACATTCGTCGGCATCTTGTGAAGCTGATGACATTGCAGAAGGACTCCGCTGAACGAAAGGAGGAGGAGGCAATCGCGTCGCTACTGGCGTTTATTGAAAGCACCTTGCTGGAATTTTCGCTGGGCTGGCTGAATCACTGTGCCACAGCGTCCCGTACGCCACGGTACCACCTAACAGTCGCCCAGCTGCGTCGCTGGGGCGTGGGGCAAACGAATCAACCGACTGAGGCGAGTCATACCGGCGTCATTGTAAAAAGATTACGATATGCTGTGACGCCCCCAGAGACCGTTATAGCAAATTCTGTGAGGGAGCGCCGGGTGCTGGTACGAAAGGCGTGGGAGGCGTTATGCTCGGCGGATGAAGAGGGACGTAAAGCCGTGTTGGGATTCAGCGATTTTGTCCGCCTCTGCTGGCTTGAAGATGGAAGCCTCTTCGGCAGCAACGCGGTCACCACTACCCCTGGTGCTGCCGCGTGTGTGGAAGAGCGTTACTTTAGCCTGGACGCACTTAACAGTCGTGCGCCGCTGGTATACGTCACCGATGCGCTTGGTGAGACAATTTTACACGACGACCCTCAAGCATCGTCCTCGTCCGCTGTGGTTCATCGTGATGTTTGCATTAACGTTGCACATTGTGAGCCTTTGCGAAGCCAGTACGGCCGCTCTACGGAGGAGGAATGGCTTGCGCAATGGCTTGAAGAGGCGTGCGCCGTGGTGCCAGTGGGGCGTGGCGTCTTTGAAGATCAGCTGGAGCGTCTGCTGCGTATAACAACACTCATGGAGGGGAAGCAGGGCGCGGAGGACGGCAGCAGGAAAACATCGGTCCTGCAATGTTTTGTCTCTGTCGCCTGAGGAACGTTTGTGGACTGTTCTTGTTTTATCCTTGCTGTTGTCGAAGGAAAAGAGGGGGGCGTAAAATAACTGAATGAAGTAGTGATGGCTTGCATTTCCTTCTTTCCTGCTCCTGCCCCGTTTGCTGCTGCACTGTCTGCTGGCACCAACCCTGTCACTGACTCTCCTCTACTCCATCTATCTCTTTATTTCTCTCCTCTGGGTGATTCCGCAGGGGGGCGCACGCACGACACCCAGCTAAACAGAGAACCGTCGTGGCCTGGGTGGATCCCCCACAAAGAGGAAAGAGAGGGAAAGCTGGGGAGTGCGCGTGTTTTGAGGGCGCGCGGAGTGATATTTTGCTTTAGAAGCAGCAGGTATTGGAATGTGTGTGGTCTTGACGCATGCCAAAGTCACTGAAAGTCAATAACGTGGCCTCCCGCATTGCGCTTGTCGAGTTCCTTGTTGATAAGCGTGTGCGTTTTCTGGAGTACCTGAGTTCGCTGCATCGGGGCGAGGCGCTGTGGATGGGGACCGTACGGCTTACACGAGCGGATGTTCTGCATTGCTTCCGCGACCACAGCAATCGCCATAAGGAGGGTTACACCACTACCACGTACCAGTTGCCATCCGCACAAGGGACTGCGATGTCGCCCCCGTCGTCCTCATCGTCCTTGTTGTTCACCAACGATAAATGTGTAGGGGATCTCGTTGTTTCGGTAGGGCCCATTCCTGGTGTCCCACATACCGTGGATGCAGCGTGGCTGTCAACCCGCATGCCCTGCTACGTCTGTCTTGCCATGTCCCTCGCGGACATTTTGCATATTCCATTATCTGTGTGTGAATTTGTGGATTGCGTGTATGCCATGCTGCTGGAGATGGCCGTCAGGTTTGGCTCTGGTGCCACCGCAAGGGCCTTTGCACGGCGAAACCTGCGTAGTTATCGACAGCGGCAGCAGCTCCGTCAACACACCGCGTTGACTACGGACAGTGCGTCAGCATTAGGTGCAGGCATCAATCATAGCACCAGCAACTCGAGCACTAGCAGCGGTGGTGGTGGCCTGCTGGGGGCCATGGGCAGCGCTGGCGGGGGTTGGTTCCTGTTTGGAGCCTCCGACGCCGACGCCCCTGTGAAGTACCTTTACCTTAATCTCGAGCACCACGCCTACACGACACCGGAAGAGGTGCGTTACGAGGAGGTGATTGACCCGCTGTTGTCCCTGCTAACCCTCACCTACCGGCGGCTGCGTGATCACGGGGTGGCAAACAACGAGGAGAGTGTGAAGCGTGTTTTGTCTATTGATCGTCGTCTGCAGGACATATTTTTTTCCCCCATCAGTAAAGAATTGGGAAAAATTGCGCGTGGCAAGCTGCTGCTGCAGACCTCGTTGCTCTCGCCAAGTGGCCTCTTTGCCAACCTTGGTAGCACGACGTGCAACAACACATTGGGGCTTCTGCGTGACCTCCTCGGGCCTGCTGCAGGCGCAGTGACTGCGCCAACGGCGTCACTGCAGGGTGGCACGGCCACCGGCACCACAGGGACGGGTCTGCCTGACATCTTCATGGGCGACTGCGAGGAGGAATTGGAGGAGGACGAAGAAGACGAGGATGACGTGTAGCGCATGCACGCATGTACTGTAGCACGCATATGACGGTGTCTACCCTTTTTCCTGGACACGGGTGAGACGACACACGCGGCATGTTTGTGGTCTGCTCTCACGCATGTGGGGGGTTGCATGCCACGGGGAAGGAGGTGAAAGACACAGCAGACAGAGATAAGAAAAAGAAATGAAAAGATGTGGTTGAGAGAAGTTGTGTGAGTTCAATGAGGCGAGCGATTGCTATTGCGCCTTTCTTCCCCACACAAACATGCACGCGTTACATTGTCTCTCTTCTGCTTGTTTTTGTTTAGAGTTTTTTCTTTTTTAGTCTCTGGCTGCGTCACATGCCAGCTCCAGCTTTGGCTGTGCGGCAGTTCACATTTAGTCACGAGATCTCGTGTGCAGATGACCCAAGCGGCAGCGACAAACATGACGCCTACGAGGCCACGCGGGTGATTCCGATTGTCTCGATCACTGTGCAGGTGTTGTCCTTCGACCGCCGCTGCTTCTGGGTGCATCTATCGGAGTCAAGGGAGAGCAGCGAGGCACCGCCACCAGCATTTGGCCCATGCGCTGTTGCCTTTGACGGCGTGGCGGCGGATGCCACCTCCTCCATCCTTTTTGATGACGCTCCGCAGGCGTCTCACGAGCAACTGGGAGAGTCAGGCGTGGGGGCACCGAACCCACATGCGGTTTTGGCGCAGAGCCTTGCGCAACGCCTTGCACGTCGCTTGCGGAAGGAGTGTGAGTCCCCGGGCGTTGCTGTTTACGTTGCATGCGGTTTTGCTGGGGAAAAGACGGAGCTGTGGGGAACACCAGCGGGGTCCTCCTTCGATGTCACGATGCGGTTTGGAGCCGCCCTTTTTTCTCATCTGCTGGAGCTTATCCGTGAGGAGATTTTGTGTGATCCCAAGGCATAATTAGCTGTAAAGAGGTGCGTGCGTGTGTGTGTGTGTGTGTGTTGAGCTTCTCACCACCGCGAGGCCACATTGGCTGCATACTGTCCGTTTTTTTTTTTCTGTTGCACTGCTTTTCCCTTGGTGGAAGTGCCACAAGTCTTTATTTCTTCCTCTCTTCGTCCGTGTGTGTGCGTGCTTTGGTGCAAATATTTTTTACCTTGACGCCGTGGGGGTGTGGAACCATGGAGCGGAAGGGTTTGAGAAGGAGCCACTGGTAGGGGCCTCCCTGACACGTGCGCCACGCATCAGGTGCATTAACCTTTACATTTATTATATTAATTGCCCAAAGTTCCCGCCCACTTTGCCGCATCCGCAATGACGGCACATGTCTACACTCGCGAGGAGGTGTCGAGTCACGCCACGAAGGAGACCGGCTGGTTCATCGTGCACGGCAACGTCTGCGATGTCTCCAAGTTCTACGACAACCACCCGGGGGGTGGGGATGTGCTGCTCCACCTCATCGGCGGCGACGCCACCGAGGCGTTTGATGCAGTTAACCACAGCGATGCGGCGAAGCGGCGAATGGAGTCTCTCAAGATTGGCACACTGAAGCAGGGCGACACCAAGGGCTGCATGCGGCTCAGCGAGGTTGCGGAGCGGCAGAAGCATGAGCTAAGGAAGCAGGCGACGGCGTGCTGGCTGGCCATTGAAAACAAGGTGTACGATCTGACATCGTTTATTGACCTCCATCCTGGCGGCCGTGATGTGCTGCTGTGCGAGTCCGGAACGGACGCCACGCTGGCGTTTGAGAAAATCGGCCACAGTGGTGGTGCACGCCGGATGATGAAGTCGTACGAGGTGGCAGAATTACACCCAGACGACATGCGCACCGTCGTGGCCCCCACCGCCAGCGCGAAGCACAAACACAGTCAGGATCCCCCTACGAATGGAGCCTGGAAGCGGGACAACTCGTTGCGGGACTTTGTGTTGGGCCAATTGCAGCTCGGGCTTGTGGTGTTGCTGGCAATCATGGCCGTCGGTTTTGCGCTGAGCAAATTGTAGGGAAGCAACGGGGTCCGATGTGAGGACCAACGCGGGTGGGATGAATTCTTCCCACCATCAACAATACTGTCCCCACAGACAAAAGAGAAAAAAATAATAATTGAGGAGGAACTAACGAAAGAAGGGAGGAAAAAGACACGTGTGTGTGTGTGTGTGGTGGGTGGGTGTGTGGGTTCCTGTCGACGTTTGCTACGCTACGCCTTGCGACCGCGGCCTCATATGTCAACGAACGGGAGGTGAACGTGCCGGTGGAAGGCGAAGCTGCTACGCGCTGCAGTGATGGAGATTATATTTATTTATTTATTTATTTATTTATTATTATATTTTTGTTTTTTGATTGATTGACTTGATGACTGGCCGGACCTCGGCGGCGGGGCAACGGAAGGGGTGGAGGCGGCGTGGCCGTCGATGGGGCCTGGTGGACGATGACACGTTGGAAGTCGGCAGACGCAGTTTTTGTTTTTGTTTTTGTCTTCGTTCCACCGCTCCTCCAAACTCTCTCCCCTCTCCCTACTGCTACCGCCAATTTCCTCCACGCGGAGGGGCCTCACAAGCGCTTACTTCCCAACGAGAGGGTCTCGGTGAAGGGAATGAAAAACAACGAAAAAAAGACATATATGTATATATGCATTTTCACTTTATTTGTTTTTATTGGCTTATGAATGCCCAATGTTATTATGCATCTTCACTGACGTGGCGAGGGGTTGATGGGGGCGTTGGCCCGGCACACTCCTCTTGCCCCGTCACTCAGTGTGGGAATTGCAGTGGCAGGGACGTGACCGGACGTGTGTGAGAGATAATAAATGCAGCTGACTTCTTCAAAAGTTTGTTTTTTACTACTGCGTGGTACACGCTCGTATGCGTGTGTGTATGTGTGTGTTGAAGGCAATAGGAGAGAAGGGGAAAAATCACATTGAAATCGGGGGAAAACAATAGTGAGGGAGAGAAAAAGGGGGGGTGGGGAGAGGTGATAACGAGGACGCCTTCACTCCCTCCCTCCCTCCCTCGCCTCGCAGTTCACTGCGGAGAAACGATGAATACGTGAGTCTCTTACTTTATCTCCTTGCGTGTATGTGCGCATGTGTGTGCGTGCGACAGGCTGACGACACAAAGTAGAGGAAGCGTAGAATACACCCAATCGGGGTATACGCAGATACACACGCATGCAGACTCCCACCAACACTGCCGTATAATTTGAGATGCGGCTGCTGCTTCAGTCCCCTTGGCTATTTTCTCTCCCTCATGTAGTCTCCCTCCTCCCTCGTCTTTTTTTTTCTTTCTCTCTTTTCTGCACACCGTCCTGTTTTCCCTCCTGGGCGTGCGCGTGTGTCTGTGGTCGTTGTGTCGTGCACTTGGTGCCACGCGTAGTCTCGTGGCGGGGAGCGAGGAGGACAAGGGAGCGCAGAGGGGAGGGAGGGAGGGAGGAGGGATGCCAAAAAAATTGCGGGAAAAGGCAAAACGAAGTGCGACGGCAAAAGCCAAGAAAGCTCCAGCGAAAAACGTGTCACCCGCCGTCGCCGCGGCTTGCAAGGTGAGCCTGGAAGCGTACATCAGGAAGTGGATGTCCGAGGTAGACGGCGTACGCCCCCCGCCACCGTCGTCGCTGCCGCCTGTTACACCACTTCCAACCATTCTAGATGTGATGATGCGTGCGCCGACGCCTTCTTCAACGCTGGACGCTGAAGCGCGGAGTAATGCCACGGCGCCGGTTTTTGGTCGGGAAGCGGGGCTTGGCGAGCGATCTCTGGCGGGAACAGGTGTTGTGTACGACGAGGTGATGTTGCAGCACGAGTCCACCGACCCGACGGACTACGAGCGTCCTGGGCGACTGAAGCGAACACTGGACCATCTGCGTGCGGTGGGTTTGTTGCAGTGCTGTCGCCGCCTCCCGCGCCACATGGCACGCACCAAAGAGCTTAGGCTTGTGCACTCCACTGCCCACATTGACAGCGTTGACCAACTGGAGTTCGCGGCCTTACTACGCAATCCGGAGTCCTCATGTAGCGTTGGGCAGGATTTGTATGCAAATGCAAACACCTCGAAGGCGGCTCGCACGGCGGCGGGGTGTGTCATAGCGGCGGCACTAAGTGTGGTGCGTGGGGAGGTGTCGAATGCATTTGCGCTTGTTCGCCCACCTGGTCATCACGCAAGTGCGAATAATGCATCGGGTTTTTGTTTTTTCAACAACGTGGCTGCCGCCGTCAGGGTGGCGCAGCAGGAATTGCGACGACGAGGGACACCCGAACCCCGCGCGTTGGTGCTTGACTGGGATGTCCACCACTGCGACGGGACGGAGAGCATCTTTTACGAAGACCCCTCCGTGGTGGTGGTTTCGATCCATCAGTACGGCACAGGTCGTGGCCACGTGCTGCGTAAAACCCCCACCGTGTTCACCGACATCATCGACCTGAGTGCGCTGGCTGCGCTAATGGAGGAGACAACCGGGAAGGAGGCCAACAGCAACGATGGCAACGGCCACGACGTGTCTGTGGGGTGGGACGACAGGCGTCAGTGTCAGCGTCAAGAGGAGGAGGAGCAGCAGCAGCAGCCAGTGGAGGCGGCGGTGGAGAAGGAGGGCGGGGGGAAGGCGTCTCGCCGCAAAGCTGTCGATTACGTCAAGCTGGCGGCGGACTTGGAGGAAGACGATGAGGCTATTGCGATGATGTTCGGCATCTCGCCGGATGAGCTGAAAAATCCGTCGTCGTCGTCGTTTTCCTCCGTTGACAGCAGCGGGAGCAGTAACTCGTCTCCTCCGTCTTCCTCCACCCCTGTCGCACCAAAGAAACTTCCTGGAGACACGGAGGGGATTTCCTTTGACGAGGAGGTGGACACCACGGCACACGAAACATTTTATCCCGGAACAGGTCACCTTGAGCGCGTAGGTGGCGACACGCAGGCCGAGGCGCGTGGGAAAAACATAAACATACCGTGGCCTACTATAGGCATGGGTGATCTGGAATACTTGCAAGTGCTGCTTGACATTGTGGCACCCGTAATGCGGGAGTATGCACCGCATATTGTCTTTCTTAGCTGTGGCTTCGATAGCGCTGCGGACGATTTACTCGGTTCTATGCGTTTATCACCGTCCGGGTATTATATTCTTACAAAGGCACTTGCTGCGCTCTGTCCACGTCTTGTTGTGGCACTCGAGGGCGGCTACAATTTGTCTAACGTTGCACGTTGCTCAGAAGCCGTTATGCGAGCGCTGTTAGAGGGCAGTGGGACAACGCCGTTGCCTTGTAGCCGGATGCTGTGGTCCCAGACCGAGGAACTTGTGCAGCAGGTACGCCGAACACATGCGGGCTACTGGCGCTGCTTTTCTGACGCCGTGTGACGTCTAAACAGGGGTGAGTGGGAAGTCTTAAATCAATTTTGGCAGGATGGCCCGAAAACAGGCGCGTGCTCGATGGGCCAGAAGCGACAAAAACAACTACAACAAATCAAATCAACGAGCAGAGAAGGAGAAAGAGGAGGAGAGGGCATTTAAGAAGGAAACGATGGAAAAGAAAAAAAATGAGGGAACAACAACATTATCTCCCTTAGGAAGCAAAGGCGCTCACACGAGCGGAGGCTTCTCGGTGGTTGACACCGCAACAGACGAGAAGGAGCAGTAACGACGACGACGACGACAACAACAACAACAACAAAAAAAGATGTGGAGAGGGACAAAAAAAAAATGCCGCATAAACACGCTGTGGGTATGCTGCGTCTGTACGTATGTATTTGCGCCGTTGTTTTTCTCTGTTGTGCACGTACCTTCACTCTGTGAACTTGTGTGCGTGCGTAGGTGACTGGGCGAGTTGCTTTTATCTGAGTGGTACGTCGGCAAGCCTCCTACTTCCCCTGGCGCATTCTTGCGCGATGGCGATGATGCTTCTAGTCGGCGACTCTCGTTAACTGTGCGGCCCCCGCCCTCCTCTCCTTCTTCTCCTTTTTCCTCCTTCGCCCACGTTTTTTTTTTCTGCGTGCGTTCAATTCATAAGCATGCCAAATTGTTTGTTTGTTTGTTTGTTGCTTGTCCTTTCTTTTTTTTTTTTACCATACGTGTCGGTGCCGACCCTTTCAGCAAGCAAACGGGAGAGGGAAAAAAGAGGCCTCAATGGGGAGGGGAGGGGGGCGGGGGGCGGGTGAATGTTCTTTTTTTCTTCACACAAATACATCAACGTCTAGAAAAGGAAGAGGGCAAAGAAGCCCACAACATGTTTGATGTTTTATATCACTGGCCACGTTGTGGCGGACGCCGTCTTGCCGCGTCGCCTGTAGGCTTTGGGTGGAAATGACACACCGTACGGTGACTGCGCGCGCTCGCTTTGCTTTCACTGGTGGGGCCTGCTAGAGATGGGCCGACGACGACGTTTATTATTATTATTTTTTGTTGCTTTTGCTACTTGCCGCCCGCGTTGCCGCCCACTCGCATCAAATGCGCGTGCACATGGTTTTGCAATGCATGCATCTTTTCCATATTTTACTATCGTGTGTTTATTATGTGTTTTTTGTTCCCCTCTTTTTTTTTTTGGGTGAGTTATCTTTTTCCGCATGGGAAAGGAGGTGGTACATCATTTTTTCTTTCTTTTTCTCTTTGGTGTCTTCTTCTTTGCGTTGTGCCCCACGCTTGTGTGAGGGGTGCCAGTTTCAGCCGATGCCAACAGCTTTGCTGCGACGAGATGGTCGTGGGCATCGCGAGATGCGTGCAAAGGAGTTGCGGACCTCCGAGCTCACTCAGTTTGACGGCTCTGCGTGGTATTCACAGGGACTCACCACCGTCGTTGTCGCCGTCAACGGCCCGGTTGCGGCACGGCAGGAGGACTACTGCAAATGCGGGGTGCAGGTTTACGTCAACCGCGCTGTGCGCATTCCGCGCGCCGGCGGCACCGACCAACTCTGCGTGGAGGAGCAACGTGTGGAACAACGCCGCACGGACGCTGCGGTGGAGAAATTTCTCGCTGCCTCAATGGAGGCGGCAGTGCGGCTCGACCGGTTCCCGCGTTGCGTCCTTGAGGCTCACGTCACGGTGTTGGCGGACGACGGCGCGCTCCTTTCGGTGGCCACAAATGCACTCATGTGTGCGCTTCTGGACGCCGGTGTGCCGTGCCGCACGACAGTCGCCGCCGTAAGCATCGCTGTCTGTGCTATAGAGGGCCATTCTCAGCAAACAGGCACAACAGCTGCCGAGACGTCGTTTGTGTCGGCGCTCTCTTTTTCACCGTTGCTGCTGTTGCTCGATCCCACACGCGTAGAAGAGGTGGGCGACGGGGTGCGCACATGCGCCACCGCCACATTTGTGCTGTCCAATTCGGCTGATGGTAGCAACAGCAGTAGCGGGGGCGTATTGCTGAGTCAGTTGCAGACGTGTCCGCGGTCCGCGGCGTATGGCGGACAAATTTCTTCCAAGGAACTTGCAGGCATGATTGCGCTAGCCGAGCGAGCGGCGGGTTCCATCTTTGCCTTCTTTCGCAACTGCAACGTGCCCCTGGAATGAGGCGTGTGTGCGTGTGTGTCTGCCTGCCTATTTGGCTTCGGGCGTGGGGATTAGTGTGGCAGGACTTTCAGGATACGGAGATTAAGTGGGATACGGAGAGATGTAACGGCACTAAGAATGAGTGCTGGACGCGGGCGGAAGAAGAAGGTGCCAGAAGTCAAGTTCGTGTAATGCGCCTATGTGCGTGCGCTGCGATACATTTGCGCGCAGCTACGCGTGCAGGCACCGCGAAGAAAAAAGGTGTGGCTCTCCGCTGGCTGGCTGGGCACTCGCAATGCATCAGATAACATATGCCACGCCTCCTTCCCTTGTGCTCTGTTAAGCCAAAACCCCTTTCCTCCGTTTTGTTTTTCTTTTAAAGTTTACTTCGGCTGTGCTCCGCTCTCTCTCTCTTTCCCTTTGGCGTTCTTTTTTTTTTTTGTCTGTCTGTGTCTCTGTGCCTTTGGGTGGAGGTCCAGCGAGTGGGGGATTACCAGTCAGGTGCAACAGTAAACGTGAATATACACACACGGGCGTAAGGAGCCGCAAGGTAAAAAGAAAGAAAAAAACACACGAAGAAAAGGTCCAAGCATGACTTCTCAGGAGGAAAGCCCCACCGCCGTGGCTGCTGCTGCTGCTGCTGCTGCTGCAAATAATAATAATAATGCTGATGCGGCCTCAGCGAGCGAAGTCGATTCCACGCTGCGTAAGGCGGGGTGTGTGCAGTTGTCTGTCTCTTCCACGTCTTGCGTGGGCACGCAGCAGAGTGCACCGTCCGAGCTCCCCGTCACGTCTACTTCTGGCCAGCTACAGGGCACCACGCATACGCCCGGGTTCGGCAGCGGGAACGGCAGCCACGATGCTACCGCAAACGCCGTCACCGCTAAGCTGGAGGAGGCGCAGAAAATGTATGCAAAGGCAGAGGCAAGTGTGGCGAACGGACTTTCCCTATGCAGCGATTGGCTTTGCGCACGCGACCTTTTCTACGAGGCGGGTGCGCTCTTTGGTACCTGTGGCTATGCGGATTTGGCTGCCAAGGCGTTTCTACACGCAGGCCTTATTGCTGATGCGTTTAAGAATGAGTGTGAAACGATTTCAATGCTCTCCCTGGCGGCGGATAATCTGCAGGTTGTGCAGCCCGCCAGCGCCGTGGATGTGTTGAACTTTCTTTCCGATTCTTTTGTAAAGAGCGGCCTCATCATTCAGGCGGCGCGGTGTAGGCGGGATGCGGCGGAGATCTTGGAGTACCGCCTTGATATGCCTGTACAGGCGGTCGAAGCGTATAAGGCGGCGATGCAGCTCTTCGGTGACCGCGCCTTCACAAAATCCTTCACCCGCGGCTGCATGGAACGCATCTCCGCGCTGACGACCATGCAGATGCAGTTCGAGGAGGCGGCGGAGTTGTACTTGGAGGAGGCGAAGATGGTGCAGCGGTTTCTTCCAAAGACGCGGCAGTTTCTTTACTGCTTGCTGTGTCTCCTCGCCAACGGGTTCGGCACCGATGATCGCTACTTTGACGCGCTGTACATCACGCGCAAGAAGTTTGACGCCCTGCAGGAGGAGGAAAAGAACTTCCAGCAGGGGAAGGAGTACGCCCTCGCACGGCACCTTATTGAGGCGAACGATCACGGCTCCCTCAGTGAGTTTGACGTCGCGGTGTTTACATACAAATCCTGCACGACGTTCGTGCCCGACGTCGTCTTCGATTTACTCATTGAGCGCTGCCGTGCCAACCTCTACGAGCATCTGGAACAATACATGTAAAGTATCTCTTTGTTTTTGTGTTTATTGTTCCTTCTTCCTTTTCTTAGCGCTTTACGGGCAGATATATATATTACGTACATTGCGGCATATTTGCGGTATCTTTTTTTTTTTTGCGGCGGCGGCAGTTTAGTTTCCACAGGCAGTGAGAAGGGGCGGAAGAAGAAGAAGGAAGAAAAGAAACAAACGAAAAACAAAAGACGGGAAAGAGTGAGGAAGGGGAGGGGACGTTGAGGGGTACTGGTAAGGAGGCGCAACTACCAAACACTACAGCACGGGTGGAGAATGAAGGCAGGTTGAAGCGAGCAGAAGCGGGAGGGAGAGACGAGAAGGAAAGAAAGCGGGTAGGGATAGGAATGTGTGAGGGACTTTGGTGAGGGAAGCGAGGCGTGAGACGGACACACACACCTCGTAGCTGCCGTTTTGCTTGTTGTTGTGTCTTTTTTTCTTTTTTTTTTGTGGTCATGCGGCGTCTTTTCTCGTGGCGTGCCATGGCAGTAGTGTACATGTATTCAAACACAACCACGACTCCACTTCGTGCTGTTGTGTAACACGTATGTATTATGTATTTTAGTTGCGCTTTTCTTAAGACGCCTTCTCTTTGGTGTGCTTGCTTTCCTGGGATGATGTCGTCAATATATATATATATATATATATGTTCTTTTTTTTTTCTTCGCGTCCACCAGGCCCCCCACACTGAGAAACGCACACACGCGCCTGTGCTCTCTCTTTTTCTTTTTTGCTTTCTAGCGCTCAGTCGTGTGCTCGACGGAATTGCGTGAGTACGCTGCCCCTGTCCCCATACTCCGTGCTTGTTCCTCTTCGCTCTTCTCTCTCTCTCTCTCTCTCTCTGTTTGTCTGCCTGTATGTCTGTATGTCGTGACGCCACGAAAAAAATAACATATTAACGCACGCGTGCTTGCTCTTACGGAGGTGTAATCCTTGTGAGGTGTGTGTGTCTTGGCGAGGTATACTAGATGGCTCACGGCGATGATAGTGTCTTTATGCGGGCGACACGACAGAAGAGGATCCTTTTCTGCGTGGCGGCACTGCTAGTCAGCGCTTTCTGCAGCGGTATCGAAAATACCCGTTTCCCGTACGAATGGCAGGGCTTTTTCTGGTAGGTTTTATGCTCGGTGGTGTTATTGAGACCTTTGCGTGCATGACCCACATGTACGAAAGTGTTATGGCGAAGAAAGATATGCGACGACACGACTTTGATGAGTTTGTCGCCGATTTTCGGGATAATGTGGAGCGGTGGCAGCGGCAGGATATGATGCAGCGAGGGACGTAAAGAGTACCGGTAAACTTTCCTGTGTCTACTTTGGTTGCTGTGTGTGTGTGTGTGTTGCACGGATGGCTGCCATGCCGTTGCTCTGCTTGCCTTTGTGCACCCGTTTCCCCCCCCCTACCCACCCTGCGGAGGTGTGGAGCTGTCATGCAGGCGTCTGTATCTGTTTGCTTGTTTTTCTGTCTCTGTATGTAAATGTGCTACTTTGATTCCTTTTTCTTTCTGACTCTTCCGCTCCTGCCGCGTGTTGGCACCAGGCACAGGAATATCCGCTGGTAGTTCACAGCAACGCGAGGCGGTTAATTAAAAAAAAACAAGGCAAAAACTAGTGTGTGACAGTGGGTACACAAAAAGAGAACGATAGAACCGTTCGGCGACGACACTGCGAATAGTTGGTGGATATATATATTACAGCTTTTAAAAATTATTGTTGCGATGCAGTCTGACGGAGTGAAGGAGGAGGAGGGAGCAGTGAACAGGACATCCGCTTCGAGGGGGAGGCAGGGAGGGAGCAGCACGGGCAGCGCTTCGGTAACCGTGGCTGGCTTGCCTCTGGCCCCGGTGGTAAAGCACAAAATTGTGCTCCTGGGTGATCAGTCTGTAGGGAAGACGAGCCTTGTGACGCGGTTCATGTATGACACGTTTGATCAGCAGTACCAGGCCACCATTGGCATTGACTTCTTCTCCAAGTCCATCCCTGTCGACAATCGCACGGTTCGCCTGCATGTGTGGGACACGGCGGGGCAGGAGCGCTTCCGTTCACTCATTCCTAGCTACATCCGCAACAGCTCCGGCACCCTTGTAGTGTACGATATCACATCCCGAGCCTCTTTCCGCAATACATTCAAGTGGGTTGACGAGGTGCGAGCTGAACGGGGCGAGGATGTTGTCATCTTCCTCGTTGGTAACAAGTCTGACGCACAGGACAGGCGCGTGGTGAGCACAGAGGAGGCGCAAAAGAAGGCGGGGGAGTATAACCTTGTGTTTATGGAGGTCAGCGCCAAGCAGGGAACAAACGTCAAGGCGCTTTTTAGGAAAATGGCCGAGGCCCTTCCTTTGTCGGACGACAACGACAACGCCGTCAGCAAAGGGAGTGGTGCTAATGCGGGGGGCAATGGCGGTCAGTCGGTGGTGTTGGGGAAGCAGCGGGACCCGTTCCTTCTAACTCCCTCGCGGATGCATGAGGGTAATCAAAGCGGGGCCCAAAACAACAACAATGGTGGCAGCGGCAACATGGGCAATAGGCAGGGCGGCTGCTGCTGACTGAGCGTGTGAAGGAAAAGGTGTTTACGTTTTGGATGGCATCCGCAGCGTTCACCCTCTTTTTTGTTTTTTTTGTTTTTCTATTTGTTTCCTCCACTCCCCTTCCCTCCTGTATGACAGGCACGCGGGGAGAGATCTCAATATGTTGTCTGCGGGGTACCGATAGGCGGGGGGACGGATTGCCCCGTTTTATGATGATGATGATTAGTTTTATGTTTTGCCCTCCGGAGCGTGCTTACAGTGGGGGGATGTAAATGCTGCAAAGTAGAAGGGAAATGAGAGGAGCCAAATACAAATCACACACAAACAAATATAAGTGACTGGGTGTCCAGTAACACACACTGCAGTCCGTTTTTTTTTTTTTCGTTTTTGTTTTTCCTTTGCATTATTATTGTCGTTGTTATTATTAAGTCTACCTTACTCCCTCGATATAAGTTCCTCCCCCTTTCACTTTCTTCTTTTGCGTGCGTTTCTGTGGATTTTTGTTTGGGCGCGTAGTGGTACACACGCAACGGAGCAACGTGTTGTTTGGCCTCCGGCGGGACGCACTCACATACGAGTACACAGATATTTATTCACATTTGCACCTCAACGATGTGTGATCAATTGGAGATTCCAGGGGAATCGCGGCGGTGGGTGCTGAAGCGACACCGTATCCTAGGCAAGGGTAGTTTTGGCTGTGCAACGCTGTACGAGGAGGTGGATGCACCCGGTAGGTTTGTTGTTGTGAAGGATATAAACATGCAGACAATGAAGAAGGATGACGAGATGAAGTCGTTTGAAATGGAGGTGGAAATTCTCCGGCGCTCGCGTGGACACCCAAACATTGTCCACTTTCTTGACTACTACCACGACGGGGCGTTTATGATTTACATTGTCATGGAGTACTGCGCGGGGGGTGATCTGGGGCAGCTCGAGGAAAAAATGCAGTACCGTGCGTCGCATCAACCCGAAAGGTTTGTCGCCTCTATTCTGATTCAGATGCTAGCTGGCCTGTACTACCTCCACGTGGATCAGCACACGCTGCACCGCGACATCAAACCGCAGAATGTGTTCCTCTGCACCGATGGCGCCCTCCGTATCGGCGACTTTGGTGTCTCGACGGTTCTCGGTCAGTACGGTGCACGGGCGAAGGCGGTGTGCGGCTCTCCGTTTTACATGGCACCAGAGTTGTGCGAGGAAAGGGCGTACGATAGCAAGGCGGATCTCTGGAGCCTTGGAGTGATGATGTATGAGTTGATGGCGCTCGAGCGGCCGTTCAACGCGGTGTCTGTTCCCGCACTGATACGGCAAATCACTCAAGGTGTATTCAACCCCATCCCGCGCGATCTCCCCTACTCCGCCCCGCTGGTGGAGATGGTGGAGTCGTTTCTGCAAACCTCGCCAACGGCCCGGCCAACGCTTCGACGCGTGCTGCGAAGCGCCTACGTCCGGAGCCATCTGGACTGTGTTCCACCTAGCTGCCTCGCCTCGACTCACTACGCGCAGCTCTTCGGGGAGGAGCTTCTGCAGGAAGTTGTAAGGAGCCATGAGGCGGTGCCAACCGCCACATGCATCGTTACCAGCGCTGGCAGCAGCAACGCCGCCTGTTTGCAGGCGGTGTCAAGGGAACAGGGTAACAAAGGCCGCGGCAATTACGCATTCGGGCCCCACGCACATGGAGAGGTCAATGAACTAGAAATGTGGTTGGAGTCGAATGGAACCATTACCGACGCCCTCGCCAACGCAGAGCCGCCCCGACTTCGAGTTGATGAGCAACAAATGCCAAATCCCCCGTCGCCCACGGGAAATGCGGTGGAAATGCGCCATGTGACTTCAGACGACGCAAAAAAAAACCAATCCACTACTGGGCTACAAGAACAAAAATTGCTGGCGCAAAACGGTGGGGCGGAGGACTTATACGAGGACGACTTTGAGAGCGAGAATGATGAGTGAAAGTTGCACATGAGTTGAATGGGGGAACCCGAAGAACACCGTCAATATGAGGCGACGGTGTGTGTGTATGTGGTGGAGTGTGAATGGGGGGGGGCAGGAAGGCAGGAAGGAACCTATTTGCTTCCTCACTGTGGCATGTTTCTCTCCTTTTTTTTTTTACCTTGGTCTTCCTGTGCCTACAGTAGACACAGTCAAAGTGTGGGTTATGAAATATTGTTTCATGATACCCCGACGGAGTTGGCTGTAGCTGTGGTGCACCGTTGTTTTGCAATGCCCTTTCCGCTTTGGCCTTTGTCACTGTCTGCCTCACCACCTCTCTCTCTTCTCTCGGTGTGTGTGTGTGTGTGTGTGTCTGCGGCGGGAAGCACTGCGGAATTGATGATGTTGACTCGCAATGGATGCTGGTGGTGACCATCGTTTTGGTGTTTTTTTCTTCCATTCACCCTGTTTGCTTCTTCCTTACTTTTCTTGCCACCCCTCCCCTCACAGCACACGCACACACACACGAAGAGAACAAGACACACTACTTGCCATTTTGCACGTTGAAAGGCTCCGCAGTTACCACCAGCAACACACACACACACACCGACCACACACGCATATATATACTCTCGAGTGTTGCTGCCGTCAAAGTTCAAGCACCCACACAGCCATCGAGGTCTGAGCGGATCCGGCAGAAGGAGGGAAGGGAGTGAGCAGCGACCGCCCAAAAATGTCGCGGCCCCGGTTTTACTTTGCGGCGCTGCTGCTTCTGTTCGCGCTGATATGCAGCAGCAGCTGGGCCGTGCTCGCCGAGGCGGACGTGGGCCGCCCAAACTCAGGAGGAGGAGGAGGAGAAGGCTCTCCTGGGGCGGCTCAGCCTGCGTCTGAGAGGTCACCCGTCACGTCAGTCACCGTTCCGTCCGTTGTTGAGGTGAATGGTGAGGTGGTCGCCATCGCGCAAGCCAACGACGATGAAAATCGAGCGCTGCTGGCGAAGCTCGTTGAACCCGT